ACATAAACACATAAAAACAGTAAGGACATTAGCTAAGAGAGAATCAGAGACATGTGGCCACTCTTGTCAACCCACTTCAGCGTTGCCTGATACCTTCTTTCTCCTCTCAGTTACATCTTTTCAGACACTTCTCTCACTTGCTTCTCACTAAATACACTGACCATAATAGAGATCTTCAAGATAGAGGTAGGTTGTGAGTCACGAGATAATAAATACATGTTTACACTCTGAGTAGACACCTAGTGTCTATGTGACATCAGTTGCTGATGTGTGTATGAGTGTTTTGTTTTTGTTTTTGTTTTGAGCAGAGGCATGTTGTACTAAATAGTTTTTAATGTGTCTCTAAATTGCTATTGCCAGTGGATGTTTTATAGTATGTGCTGTTAATTGCATCTCTCATTTTGATCAATTAAAAGCTCATTTATAGAAATCTTATGTAAACATGAACATGATGAAAAGTAATAATTAGAATAATAAATCTCAGAACACAAAGGTTACTCTGACATTTAACCAGATTTTAAAGTCTGTATATTTGTCTTCTCACACTTTTCTGTTAATCTGTCTGCCCTCCAAGGGCTTCAAGTACACTTCTGCAATGATACTATCCTCTATTCTGTAATAATCTCTCTTCCCTTCCCTGCCCTGTTCCTCTCCTCTCCTCTCCTCTCTTCTTTTCTCTTCTGTCTCTCACTCTCTTCCTCCCTTCCATCTGTCTCTCATCTGTCTAGTATTTCTTAGTCTATTTTGGTTTCACCCTAACCACACATCCCATTTTATAATTCTTTTAAAACTGGAAAGTAAACATTCTGTTGAGACACTTTGTTAGAAAACCAGTTCCATACTCCACTCTGAGAGCAGGAGGCTCTTAATTTAGATCTTCATGTGTTTTCACAAAACCTCTAGGTCAGAGAAAATTATGAGTCATTACTGCCTAAAGACATAGCAGGTCTTTAGGGGCTGAGGTGATCAATAACCTCACCAATGTCTCTGCCTCATACAAGCATTTAAAATGTTTATGGCAAATTCTATAGACATATGTATTTGTTAGTTTATTTTATTTTTTAATTTCTCTTGAAGATCAATTTTGGATCTTTCCTTTATTCCTTCATTTACTTTGCTTCATTGTCCTTGTTTTGAAGTCTACTTTCATTATATTAATGGTTTTCTATTTTTACCATTTCAGTCCTAAATATTGTTATAAAAACCATATGCTTATATGAGGCCAAGTGTAGTGGTTTCTGCCTGTAATCCCAGTACTTTGGGAGGCCGAAGGGGGAGGATTGCTTGAGTTCAGGAATTCAAGATCAGCTTGGTTAACATAGAAATACCTTGTCTCTGCAAAAAAATTTAAAAATTAGCCGGCATGGTAGTGCACACCAAGTAATCCCAGCTACTCAGGTGGCTGAAATGGAAGGATCACCTGAGCCTAGGAGGTCAAGGCTTGGTGAGCCATGATTTGCCACTGCACTCCAGCCTGGGCAACAGAGAGAGAACCTGACTTAAAAAAAATCATATGTTTGTATGAACATTTTGAATCCATGTGTGTATAAACTTAAAGTAAATCTTTCCATTATACACGACCTCCCTTCTTCTTCTCCTCCTCCTCCTCCCCAGCCTTCAAAAAGAATAGTATATTGGCAATTGATTATGATCTTTCCAGACAGATTTTCATTTATTACACATGTTCAGAAAGAGCTCTGATATCTCCTTCAGCTTGATCGAGTGCTGAGTGAATTTTGTCTGTTAATTCACTCTGTCTTATGTCCTTCTGGATCTATAGAAAACGTATGATCACTGCTAGTGGAACCAGGACCTCTCTACTCAACACTCTTGTCCTTGCTTGTTTAGTGATGTATTTGTTTATTCAGTTTTCTGCCTCGACATGTTAATGACTTATGAATTATATAATGTATTTATTATGGTGAATGCGACTGAAATGAGATTGCAAAAACTTTAGATCTTAATCCACAACAAACTTCTCTGTAGAACAACACATTTTAGATTCTTACAAAAAAATACCGTTGAGGCACATGGTGTTAGTCAAACTAAATAAGTTTAAAAGATGAATAAGATAAACCTGAGCATTTTCTGCACACAAAAAAAGCATTAAAATGTCTTCTAATTTTGACATCACCATAGGAAACTCTAATGTTTAAGTCATATTTGATTGTGTTTTGTGATAGAAATGAAAAATTAAAATTTTTATAAAATAAATATAACATGATATTTTAGCATATTGATATATGTTAGAGTAGAAAATACTAGACAGGTCTTTGAATTTAATTGACATTTTTGTGATCACTTCTGAGACAAACATATTTTTTGCAGTGTATGAATGTGTCTGCTAAATATTACCTGTTCATATATATTGTCATCATTTGACTATGGTCTTTTCTTATCTAATTAGTGTCATTACTAATTTATTGTTGATATCTTTCTCTGATATGTTCTATTTAGTTAAATATTTTTGGGTTTAATTTTAATTATTTAATATAATATCTTGCACTATTGCTAATTTATTATTATAAATTTTAAAAGCTGTTGGTTTGGACCATGTATATAATGATTTTGCCCACTCCCAAATTATAAAAATGCACACTGAAATTTTGTCAGGAGATTTACCATTCTTTCTGTTTTATATCCAGTGTGTCATTTATTCTAATTTTGAGGTTAAAATAGATGTATTTTTGTTTAGAATAGAATATATTCTGTCTACATTAGGTACCTCTATTTCAAACCTTAAATAAGTGCATACCATGTAAGAAATAGATAATTACCCAATAAATTGATTATATTTCTCAGAAATAATATATGCATACAGATAGATATGTTTGTATTTTATGTTTCCTGTTTTAGACCATTGACTTTTCTATTTATTTTCATTTTTAGCATAAAACTTATGTTCATAACCATTGCATTCATTCCTTATTAGTTTTTAATTATGTTAATAATTTGGATATTTTATAATTACCTCAGAAATGTTAGAAATCGTACCATTAAGTTTGGAATTATATTAAATATGTCTCATACATTGTAAAAATATCTTTATAAATATTATCTTGGGCTACAGTTTGTTCCTACTATTATTTATTTCTGATTCTCATTTTTAAAGTAGTGCTTGAAATTTTGCTTCTAATTTTCATTAAAATTACCTAATTTTAGTGTAATATTGTCAAATTATAGGTAATAAGTTTATTTATTTTCAATGTGTCAGTACCAATATATTTTGCTAAAACGTGATTATGGACAGCACTTTCAGATATTTTTGCTCATACTTTTTCTTGTTCATACCCATAGAGTTTTTGTAACTGAAATTTTTTTTAGACCTAATAGTTTTTTTGTTTTGTTTTGTTTTGCTTTTTTGAACTGGAGTCTCACTTTTTCGTCCAGGCTAGAGTGCAGTGGCATACTCACGGTCACCCCAGCATCGGCCTCCTGGGCTCTGGCAATCTTTCTGCCTCAGCCTTCCAAGTAGTTGGAATTACAGGCGCGCACTACTACACCTGGCTAATTTTTTATTTATCGTAGAGAAGAGTCTCGCCAAGTTTGCCTGGGCTGGTCTTGAACCCACAGGCTCAGGCAATTCACTCACCTTGGCCTCCCAAAGTGCTGGGATTACAGGCTAAGCCACCAAGCCCGGCCTAGACCTAAAATGTTGATTGACATGTTGTTATATAAAATAATACATAAAGGTCCTGTGTATACATCACTCAGTTTATTTCAGGATAACATTTGTAAAACAAATATATAGACAATAATCTTATTCACTGTTCTTATTCAGATTTCATTACTTCTGTTTATACTCAGCTGTATGTGTATGTATGTTTTCATATGTGCACGTATGTCTGTCTGAACTTTAAAACCATATGAGCTTTTTTTGGTCTGCATCACCAACCATGTTGACACACCACCAAGTTTGCTTTTTTGTTCATTTTACCCTTCACTCCATGGATTTTCCAAATTTCGCTTTTATTTCATTTTGAATAAAAATTATTAAAAATATTTGTTTGTACAAAGACACAGCTATAGCACAAGAAAATTTTATAAATTATCATTTCTGTTCCTTTTCCCTGGTAGCACTCTGTCCCTTTATATTTTTTTCACTTGGTTAAAAAAACAGAATACTTTGTACATGGTTTTGAACTGTACATTTTTCAATTAAAAATATATCCTGGACCCAATCCCCACCACTCACAATGTGTTCATGTAACAAATAAAAAATAAATTAATTTTTAAAAAAAATATATATCCTGGGGAAAACTCCACTAATTTAGTTCTACTATAATGCAATGTATGCAATAAATCACTGAACTATGCAAAATCCAAAATAAAGTCACAGAGCTTGTTGAGACACTCAACTTTATGTTTGAAACATTAAGAAAGAAGACAGAAGCCTAACAATAAAGGCAACACAACTTTACAGGTTAAATATTCAAAAAAATAAAATAATGTAATAAACATGGCAATTTACTTGAAAAGGTCTGAAATTTGCCTGTGAAAGTGGATGTTAAGGGTTGCAGCTTATGAGTTTCTGTGAAGTGGTGGGGGAGAGTTGCATAAAATCAGACAGAAAGTCGTAACACTAATATGGATGAATTTGTCTCCTACCAAAGAGTGAACTAAGGTGGCAGGTAAGTTTTTAAATTGTGTCCTTGTGTGAGTTTTTCTATTTCTAAATGACTTGTTTTAGCTGGATGCAGTCATGCATTCATCTAGTCTTTCCTGTAGACAAACACCAATAAGCAATCACAAAATTTGCTTTACCCTCAGTGTTTCCTAATATCTCAGTCATGTTGAAGAAACTTCTGAAAGTTTCTTCAACAGGACACGGCAATATTTCTCATCCCTACAGCTGTAGAGATCTGTTCTGCAGTTGCTCTCTCATTCATTCACCCAGACTCTTGTAGATGGACACTAAAGCAGTTTCCAATGCAGTTCTTCATTGAATTGCCTTTTCACAAATAGCCATAAAGTGTTAATACCTACTCAAAGTGGGAAAAATGAGTTTAAATGAGTACAGAAAAGTCAGACTAAGACATTTATACCTGCTATTTTTTCATGCTGATTCCTGTGACTTCAATTGGAATCAACACACCCTAGATATTGAGGCAGTGAGATTTTAAAAAGATTTTAAAAAGTTGGAATTGGGGATTATCTTCCTCATTCAGACTAGAATTGGGATCCTTGGAAATTCCTTCCTCCTTTGTCTTTACAGCTTCTTTTTGCTCACAGGATGCAAGTTTAGACCCACAGACCTAATTTTCAGTCAACTGGCTTTGGCCAAATCCATGGTCCTTTTCTCCAAAGGAATACCTCAGACAATGGTGGCTTTTGGATTAAAATATTTTTTGGATGATGCTGGATGTAAACTTATCCTTTATTATCACAGAGTGGGAACAGGGGCTTCCTTTACCATTTACCTCCTCACTGGCTTCCAGGTCATTAAGCTCAACCCCAGTATTTGTAAGTGTTTAGAGGTCAAGATTAGATCTACAAAGTTCATTGGCTTCTGTTGTTTCTTGTGCTGGATTCTACATCTTTTGATAAACATATGTAGTCTTATAATTGTGAACGGTCCACTGAACATAAAAAACCTTAGTGTGGAAGACAATTAGGGATACTGTTCCTGGAAAATGCCTGAAAGATTTAGCTTATTCTATGCAATCATGTATTTTTCCCCTGACTTTGTGAGTTTGGGCTTCATGATTTGGGCCAGTGGCTCCATGGTCTTTGTCCTGCACAGACACAAGCTGCGAGTCCAACACATTCACAGAGTCTCTCCTTCAGACCTTCCCATGAGGCTAGAGCCACAAACACTATCCTAATCCTGGTCTGTTCCTTTGTTACCTTTTACTCAGTCTATAGTATGGTAACTGTTTGGTTGACTGTAGCTGCAAACCCTGGCCAGTGGATAGTGAACAGCGCTGTGCTGGTGACCTCATGTTTTCCAGCATTCAGTCCCTTTGTGGTCATCATCAGTGACACACATGTTTCTCAATTCTGCTTTGCCTGCAGGGCACATTGGTTTGTAACTAAATTGATCTAGTAGTCTGGTTTTTGTTTTGTTTTCAAAGCATTTAATTACTCATTTTAAAAAATTATTTTGAGTCTCAGGATGGAGTGCAGGCTGAAGTGCAGTGGCACGATCACAGCTCACTACAGCCTCAACCTCCTAGACTCAGGCGACTCTTTTGCCTCAGCCTCACAAATTGCTGGGATTACAGGAATGCACCACCATACCTAACTAATTTTTTTAATAGAGATGAAGTCTCACTATATTACCTAGGCTGGTCTCGAACTCCTGGACTCAAGCAATTCTTCCACCATGGCCTCCCATAGGTCTGGAATTACAAGTGTGAGCCACTGGACCTGGCCTACAATTTTTTTTTAACATGTAGATGGTAGGAATTTTTGATACAGTGGCAAATAAGGCTACTTATTATTCCTGCTTACATGGACCTTATAACAGAACTAATAATGACCATCATGTCCAGTAGCATAATACGAATCTATATTCAATATTTTAAAAACAATTTTCAATTAGGACAGTTGAAATTTTCACCCAGTTTGAAGTACCTTTCACTCTAATTTCCTGCTGGATTTACGAAAAGCATTTGATCACTTCTAGTGAGACTAGTACCTCCATCCCCATACTTATGTCCCTGCATGTTTAGTAATGTATTTGTTTATTCAGTTTTCTACCCCAACATGTTAATGATTTGAATTACATAATATATCTATTATGGGGAATACAACTAATATTAAACATTAGAAACTTAAAACTGGCCATTGGAAAGTAATTTTGCCTATCAGTTCCTTTAAACAATATTTATAAAATTCTTTCTCAGTTTGTTTTACCCACAAATGACAAAATTCAAAAGAGGACAAGATGTTTTTTGAAAAGTCTGACTATATTCTGTTAGTAAATTGATCAAACTCTTATTTACTTACACCATTTTAAGTATTTTAATTATGTGAAAATTTCTGGCACATCATGCAAACTTTTTGCACTTAACTATATAGCTTCTGAAATTATAAACCATATTATGAAATACCAATAGTGCTTATTTTTACAGCAAAATTATGGCTCTTAGCTGTTTATTCAAACTTTGTGGCATTTATTCTTATTTATGTCTTTTCCAAAATTCACATATTCGCTAAATAATTCTTCCATTTATTTTTGAGGTATAATCCGTGAGCAGTCTTACCCTTCATGTTGCTTTAACTTGCACTGCGATTAAAATGAATAACCAAGTGTGTATTGTGCATATTGCATCTTAAAAGTATAAACAAAAATCTGTATTAAGTATTAGTCTGATGGGATACTGATATTGATTTATCTTTTACATTGGCTTTTCTTTTATTTTTAAACAACATTCTTGAAGCCTTGGCTGATATTCCAGAAGGAATTCCATCTCTCTTAGTCACTTAACTTGTAATATTTTCTTTGAGTTTTGGAAAGCTATCCAAACAATCCCTTAATACCCAAATTACTGCTTCCTTCTTTGCATGTGTTAATATAGTCATGAAAAAGGTTGAAGTCTTCACTCTCATTCTGACACATGTAATTACTCATAGTAGGACCAGAAATAACTAATAGTTCTAACTATTTGTGTTCATTTGGTCCTTGCCATACCTGTAATATTTTATTGGCATACCCTAGCCTGTCTGTAAATGTCTCACTTCAGACTCTGAAATTAATTACCCTCAGATATGTCTATATTGTGGTGCATGTGACCCCTTCCACTGGAATTCTTTTTGCTGTTTACCTAACTCATTGCTGTCATTCAGACCTATAAATTTATTCCTCAGCAGAGGAGTCCAGTAATGTCTCTGAGTCAGCCAGCTCTCTGCCTTGAACCTCTTCTTTCTTTTACAGCAAAAATTTAAATCAATTCCTGCCATAGCTGGTAGGCCAGTTAAATAGGGGTTTTCAAATTTGTTTTCAACATTTGGGTCTGCATCACATGGACCATGGCAGCCCATTGAGGACACAAGCCCACTGTCCATCCAGCATAGAGTGTAGCCATGTGTCACTTACTTAAGGGCTGCATCTTGGTTTGTTTAGACAACCTGTTTGTTATTAATGAATACTTCCAAATGAAAATCTCCTAAGACTCATTTTTCAGGTTAAGCACATTGTTTTGTCATCCCTGACTGTGAAAAATGTACCTTGAAACTGTAATATCCATAATCCATGTTGTCACATCTTTATGTAGGAACCCTACATAAAGGGGCATTTACTGAGGAGGTTTTAAGGGTCCCTGAAGTGTTGGCCCTGAAGAGTATTTTTTTTTTTTTTTTAACCACAAATTGCATTGTCTATCCATATCATTATGAGTTACTTCTTGTTCTATACTCTAGGCCACATGTGGCACAAATAGTTACATACTGCAGACTCTCAGCCTGAGAGATTTCTGACAAAAAAAAGATTAGGTCACACTTGGTGGCTCAGCCTGTCATCCTAGCACTTTGGGAGGCTGAGGTGAGTGGATTGCCTGAACCCACGGATTCGAGACCAGCCTGGGCAACTTGGTGAGACCTTGTCGCTACAATAAATAAAAAATTAGCTGGGCATGGTAGATGCACCTGTAGTTTCAGCTACTTGGAAGGCTGAGGCGAAAGGATCAGACTGCCTGAGCCCAGCAGGTCAACGCTGGGATGGCCATGAGCGTGCATGCCACTGCACCTCAGCCTGGGCAACAGAGTGAGACTTCAACTGAAAAAAAAAAAAAAAAAAAAGAAGAAGATTAACAGTGAAGGTAAAGGAGCAGCAAAAGAAAGAGGAAGAGAAAGAGCGGGAGGAGGATGAGGAAGAGAAAGAGAAACTATCACAAGATAAAATAGTACAAAGTAGAAAACAAGACAGAATGCTAGAAGTCAGCAATGCTAAGAACACTCTGGTGGGTTGAAAGAGATTTTGATTATTGATTTTGGTACTGGTTAAGTGATATGTTGACCTAGAGAAAATTCGTGAGCTGTGATATGTTTGCTTTACAGAATGCCATGCAAATTATGCAAGTCTGTCATTTCTCCCCTCCATGTTCGTTCTCCACATTCGTTCATAGATTCTCACTTTTTTCTAGACTTGCTTCAAATTCTATGGCTCCCTCCTGTTTAGCTGATGACCTCATGTCACTCTTCTTTAGAAAATGGAATGGCTCACACCTGTAATTCTAGAACTTTGGGAAGATGAGGCAGGAGGATTGGTTGAACCCAGGAGTTCAAGACTGCCTGGGCAATGTAGTGAGACCCCCGACTCTACAAAAAAATTGAAAAGTTGACTGCATGCAGTGGCTCACACCTGTAATCCCAGCACTTTGAGAGGTTGAGGCGGGAGGATTACTTGAGCCCATGAGTTTTAGAACAGCCTGGGCAACATAGCAAGATTTTGTCTCTACAGAAAATTTTTTTAAAAATTAGGCATAGTGGTGCATATCTGTTGCCCCAGCTACTCAGAAGGCTGAGGTGGGAGGATCACTTAAACTTGGGAGTTTGAGGCTTCAGTGAGCTGCAATCATGCCACTGCATTCTAGCCTGGGCAACAGAGTGAGACCCCAACTCAAACACAAAAAAAAAAAATGAAAAGAAAAGAAAAATGAGCAGGGTGTGGTGGTGCATGCCTTTAGTCCCAGCTTCTTGAGAGGCTGAGGCATAAGGATTGCTTGAGCCCCGGAGCTGGAGGCTGCAGTGGGCCATGATTGCCACTGCAATCCAACTTGGAAGACAGAGAGAGGCCCTATCCCTAGGAGAAAAAAAATGGAATAAGCAGTAGGTTCCCACTGTATACTATTTTCTAGGTAACAAATGTGGCTACAGGAGGCTTCCCCTTTTCTCTCTTGTCTCATCACAATATAAGAAAAGCCCATACTGCAGTCAAGGCCAGCATACCAAGAGAGCTCTGAATTCTGTTTCCTTTTGCATCTGGAGTGGTTTACCCTTGCTGTTTTCCATGAACTCTCTTCTCTGTCATAGCTCCTGAGTTACTCCTATCAGCATGCTAATGTGGTCTCATAGCTACTCTGTGTCTCTAAACAAAACAAACAAACAATATTTCTCCCACCACCTCCTTCAACTCCATTCCATGACCTTCTCCAACTACTTTTCCTCATTCACTTACCATCACAGTCAAGTCTGGTGTCCACAGAGGTCGCTCCTGTCAAGGTTCCCGTTAACTCCATTTTAGTCCAGTGGTAACTTCTGCATCCTCAAGTCACTTAATCTTTATAAGTTTTCTATAAAGATCTGCGTATTTCCTCCTCCAAACTTTTCCTGCCATCCTTGATATTCTCTGAGCTTCAGAATTTTTCATTTTTAGTCTGATCTTTGAATTTGTCTTTCTGATAGATATCTCAATGTATCTCCAATAGATTAGTTTTCTCAGCCTTTACCACCAAAACTTTCCCTTTCTCAGCTGTTTTTTTCCATCTCTATAAATAAAGTCATCATCTTACTAGTTGCTTTTTGCCAAGACATTGATCTGCTACCTATCCTTAACGTATTATTTTCTCTGACCATTTAACCCATGTTTCAGCAAGCCCTATTTGAAAAATTAATTCAAAATTAATTTCATAGACCTAAATACGAGTCCTTAAGTTATACAATTTCTAGTATAATGGAGGAAAACCCTTTTCTTTCATAATTGAGTTTATTGGCTATGTTGAGGATCGGTACACAGACATTTCAATTTGTACACAATTCTTAACATATGTACCGAAAATCTAAAACGCCATGTATCATTATTTTAAAAAAGTTATTCCATTGACTTTCCAGCTTAAAATTTGGAGGCAAATTTTCCTTAAGAGGATATATCAAGCACCAGTATCTTCAAAAGTTGATAAGCTGTTACATACATCCTCCAATTCACAATTTATCATACATACAACATATACAATGTTTCAATTTTTCACAACACATTAACAAAGTTATTAGGAAAACAGAACTACATGACCAAAGATGTTACAGAGTGCACACAATTCTGACAGGGAGACTCATGATCAAGAAGTGGTTTTCTTTAGGAAACAATTCCACTAAAAAATAACATGGGGATAGAAGTAATTTTAAATGTTCAAGACATTAAATACAGGACAGTAATCTATACTGCCACTTAGTATATTTTGCATTATAGGATATAAAAACTAACCCCCATCTATGGAATGCTAAGCTGACACCTAAGACAGTCAAAGCCTCCCGTAATTCAATATCTCACACTGTTTTCTGGTTGTACCAAAAAATAAGCAACTTGCAGTTTCACCTCTTAAAAAAAAAGCACTTACACTTAAAAGATGGGATGAGGTGGCATTCCCTCCCTCTTAAAAATGTCTCTAGAGCTACTAAAAAACTTTCATTTCCAAAATAGTTGATAAAAATATTCCTCTGGACTGTACAAGAAGGGAGGTAGGGCCCACGGGTAAGACATGTTGTGTGATATTCTTCAGACTTGGTTTCTCTCTCTCCTGCTTCATCAGAGGCTGGATTCTCCTTGGTTTTCGTTTCTCCATTCTCTGCAGGGAACTCTTCAGTTTTTTGGTTGGCCACTTCAGCCTGTTTTCCCTGGGTTCTCCTTTTCCCTTGTGCTTGCACTTTTTTGTCTAAAGATGGATCCTTTCCCGCCGCCCTTTTTGGCTTCGCCTCCACTTTTTCACTTTTTGTCTCGGGCTCCTCCTTTGCCGCTGCCTGGGCGGAGCTGACCGTCCTCTTGGGGATCCTGGTGGCACACAGGGCACGTGCCGGGTGCCTGCGGGCCGCGGGCGCGGAGGGCCTTGGCAAAGCTGGGCTGCCTGGCCGCTGCCGCTCCTCTGGCCGTCCAGGCTGCTGAGACCCGCGGTGGGGCCTGAAGGAAAATCTTATATAATACATCAGGAACACGATTGTAACAGGAAAATTAAGATTTTATACTTTCTAATCATTAAAATGCAATTTTCTTGTTAAAATATGAAAAGAGGAAGTACAGACCAAGACAAAATATCTGCAAATCACAAAGTTGGTAATAGAATGTATCCAAAATATAAACTAAAAAGAATACAAAACAAACCCTGTTTTTTAAATGAGTAACAGATTTCAAAAGACATTTCTCCAAAAAGATATACCAGTTGCAATTAAGAAACTCCCAGTTGAGTATTTCAAATATATAATATATATTTTATATATATATATATATAATAAATATATTTTTTAGAGACAGCTTCTCTCTATGTTACCCAGGCTGACCTCAAATTTTTGGCCTCAAGCAATCCTCCCCCTCAGCCTCCTACAGCACCGCAATTAGAGGCATGAGCCCCACCTCCCACTCTCCAGTTGAGTTTTTTAAAAATTATAGAGGTAAATTTACGGAAGAAATGGGTCATTTAGTGTATAATACAGGGCATATTTTGTGCAATCATCAGCTTCATTTAATTCCAGCCATTTTCATTAGCCGACAACGAAACCCATTCTCGTGAAGCAGTCATTCTGCACTCCTCACTCTCCTAGCCCCTGTGGCACCCACTACTCTGCTTTCTGTCTCTTCTGACTTACCCACTTTGGGTATTTAATAAAAATAGAATCATAGATGTAGTGGGAGAAGCCATGGCAGCGCTGTGTCGGACCCGTACCGTGGCTGCCAAGAGCCATTTTCTGCGAGTGTGTGTCTCTTCCCGAGCCCCTTTCCGGGCGCAGGCGCTGAGACTGGTTCTGAGAGTGGAAATTCCGATTCCACTGAGCCTAGGCCGCGCCCAGGTGGCCTCGCAAACGCGTTGGAATGGCACTCGGAACTACAGCGGAAGGTGGAGCTCGGAAGGGACTCCCCACAAAATGTGGAATCCTTCAAGTCTATGCGGAGGCGTTCTCCTCTTACACAGATGGGACCTGCCAAGGACAAACTGGTCGTTGGATGAATCTTTCATATTGTGGAGAATGATCTCTATATAGATTTTGGTGGCAAGTTTCATTGTGTATGTAGAAGACCAGAAGTGGATGGAGAAAAATACCAGAAAGGAACCAGGGTCCGGCTGTGTCTATTAGATCTTGAACTTACATCTAGGTTCCTGGGACGAACAGCAGATACAACTATACGAGAGGCTGATGCAGTTCTCTTAGGACTCCAGGATGGCAAAGACTCAAAATCAAAAGAAGAACATCACGAAAAATAAATAAACGTGTTTCACTCATTAGGACTGCAATTAGAAAATTGTGAATAGTGATTGAATGAAGATGTAATAAATGGAAATTTAAAATATATAGCTTTTGTTAGAATTTTTTTTACTGTATTTTCTTTCTTTGTTTCCCTTATTTTTTCCTTTGGGATGGTATAAACTGTACTGGGAAATTTTGTCATTCAATAAATATGTTTTGGGTTAAAAAAATAAAATAAAATAGAATCCTATAATGTGTGTCCGTATGTGTTTGTCTTCTTTCACTTAGCATAATGTTAATGAGATTCATCCATGTTGTAGCATGGATGTGCTTCATTCCTTCTCATGGCTGAATAATATTCCAGTCTATCAATATTCCACCTTTTGTCAATCAATTCATTAGTTGATGGACATTTGGATTATATCTTTTGGTGGGTGGAGAGGGTCCCCGTGTGGGGGTCCAGTAGCCCATGGACCCAGTGGAGATATCACCAGCCTCTCTCCTGCAAACCTGCGTGCACAACCTTGAAGACCAAGCCAAGGATGACAGGGTGTGACCTGGACACTGCCAATTTTTGTAACATTTCCTGACCTCAGCAGATGGTGCTGAGACCGAAGTTGACATCCTCAGGTACTATTAGAACATTCTGAATTCTAAGGCTAGAGAAAGCATACCTTAAGTCTACTGGTCTCCTGTGGTTTCTCCACTCAGATTTTAGGATAAGAAAAGGACTTGAGAGTTTTTTGTGGCCTTGGAAGAGGGGCACTGTGGAAACCAAGGGGCTATTGGAAGTCCTAAGCCCAACTCACTCACCACAGTTGGACAGACATGATGCAAAACCCTAAAGAAAGAGATGGCTTTTGGAGGACAAGTAGCTGATAAGGAAATATCAGGTGATTAACGAGCAAGTGACTTTAGGTGAGCTAAAATGTATTAAGTCAAAAAAGGAAATTTCTCAATTCTGAAACAAAGCATGACTTTATTAAAAATAAGGAAAATAACTTTTTTTTTGGAGTTGGTGTCTCACTCTGTCGCCCAGACTGGAGTGCAGTGGCATGCTGACGGCCACCCCAGTGTCTACCTGCTGGGCCCTCAAGATCCTTCTGCCTCAGACTTCCGAGTAGCCAGAACAATAGGCACGTGCTATCATGCCCAGGTAGTTTTTTAAATTTATTGTAGAGATGAGGTCTCGCCAAGTTGCTGGTCTCTAACCCTTGGGTTCAGGCAGTCCACTCACCTTGGCCTCCCAAAGTGCTGGGATTACAGGTAAGCCACTGAGCCCGGCCGGAAAAGAACTTTTTAAGAGTATATTTGATGCCATATGAAATGATGCTACTAGTTAGTACTACATAACAAAGGTTTTTTGTAAAGGCGGGCTCGGTGGCTCAGCCTGTAATCCCACGCCTTTGGGAGGCTGAGGTGAGTGGATTGCCTGAGCCAACGGGTTTGAGA